AAGCGATGGGACGAGAGGAAACTGCCTCAGGCTGTGCCAGGGGAGGCTGAAATTGGACATTAGGGAAAATGCTTTCACTGAAAGAGTAGACAAACATTGGAACAGGCTGCCCAGGGAAGGGTTGGAGTCACCATCCCTGGAGGGGGTCCAAAAACGTGTTGATGTGGCACTTCTAGACATGGTTTAGTGGGCATGGGGGCGTTGGGTTGATGGTTGGACTTTATGATCTTAAAGGTCTTTTCCAACCTTAATGATTCTATGTTTTGGGAGGGAGTTGAAGGCTCCCAGCTCCAATTACCTTTCCTGAGTGAGGAGGCCCAGCTCAGCTGCTGGAGAAGGTTGCTGTCCTACTCAAGGAATGGTTTGGCTTAGAATGGACCTTAAAGATTATCAGGTTCCAAGGAACCCAGGACATTTCTGTGTGCCTGTACGTGCCTCTGCCCCACGTACCATGTCCGTGCCGTAGACCGGGGAGGTCATCTTGATCTCCCAGAAGTGCTGCCCGTCTGCCAGCTCCTTGTTCCCCCGGATGGCGGCAGTGCCGCAGCTGTACTCCATGTGGAAGTTCACCTTGCGGTTGTCGCAGCTCAGCAGGGTGGCCGTGGACTTATTCAGGTCATCCCACACCCAGTCGAAATCTGTTCAGGAAGCACAGAGGGGACAAGGATGGGCAAAGGCCCTCAGGGGGCGATCCCCAAGCCCAAGCACAGGTGGACATTCGTTTTGAAGGCCTATTGGGGGGTTATTTAGGTTTTTTTACCACTTGAGAGGGTAAATGCTAAGCTGTGCACATTGGAGAGTGGTCTGAAGCCTGAACTATTCTGCAGCATCCCACCAGGGACGGTTCAGTGCTCTGGACCCGGAGCTGTTGGCATTTCCCAGTTCCCATTTTGGCCAACATGAAGCTCCACAGACCTAGATGGAACCTCCTTTCTTCCTACACTTCTCGTAGGCTCAAGGGGTGGCTCCGCTATGCCACAGGCTCTCTTGGCCAGCCTGAGCCCACCCTCTGCCTACCTCTCCCCTCTGCTTTAAGCACACCCTGCCAGCCGTACTAGGGATTGGCAAGAGGGCTGCAACCACCAGGACCAGTTTCACTGGTGGCCTAAGCCAGATTTGAAAGCAGGTCCCCAGAGATGACCTCTGATGCGTTCCCAGGTTCAGCACTTAGCCCCTGAAACAGCACAGGAGGCACAGGCGTGTGATCTTCCTACAGCCTGCGTGGCCCTGAGCTGTATCAGAGGAGCACCACACACCAGGATGGAGATAAGGAGAGCCAAGGATCCGTGCTGGGGCCCTCCACCTCAAGCCCCCAAGGCCTACGGCGGAGCCCCTTCCTTACACTCGTCCTCCTCGCCGCACTGGCAGTCCTTGACGCGGTGGAGAGCGTGCAGGCTGGAGCAGTAGGGCGCTTCGCTCTGGTTCTCGCAGTTGCAGTAGGACTCTCCGGTCACAGGGATGGCGCTCGGGATGGAGGGCGAGATGGAGGAGAACTCTGGCTCCGAGTCCGAGTCGCTGTGCTGCCAGGGAGAGCAGAGGAACGGTCACGACCAAATGCCCGCAGGCTCGGGGAGCTGGGCTGGCAGAGGTCTGCGAGGCCTCACACGCCGCAGAGCTGTGTGGGGAGGTGCCCAGGCTCGTGCCAGAGCCGGTGGTGGCATGGCCACATGGTGCCCTGGCCCGGCCTGCCGCGCAGGGAGGCGAGGGGCTCTGCCAGTCCAGCTAACCTGCTTTGGGACCTGGCTAGCACCTGTCTGAGCTGCAGAGACCTCTCAGCACCAGGTGCTCTACGGTGTGGGTACGTTCTTGGTGACTTCCAGGGGCGAGGAGCTGTCACGGCAGGCAAGCAGCATGACAGTCCAATTCTTTAACACACCCATTTTTGAGCAAACTGTGCTAAAGCTATGGTTTTCAAGGGGCAGGTTACAGCCAGCTGGACTCCCTGGCCAAGGCACCACGAAAGCAGAGGGCACAGCTTAAAACCACTGCTCTAGAGAGCCTGGGAGCTGCCAGAAAAGAGGGAGGCAAACCAGACGAGAAGGCAAAGGGCCAGGAGGCCAAGCAGGGGAGAGGGCAGAACAAAGGGGAACCAGTTCAGCAGTACAGCTGCAGCTCCTCACACCAGCACTGCAGACGGGCCCACAGGGAACCTACGGATTAAAAGGCTTTTGTTTACTTTCATGCATGAACACAAAAATCTTGATTTACTATTCCCTGGTGCCAAGAGACCAAAATGTCCCGTGTTGTAAGAGTCAAAGCCCCGTCTCACTCCCCACATTACGGGCAGCTTGGTGTCACCTTATGGAGTCTCCTAGCACAGATTGCAGCGAGTTACTCTGCGTTTACACACCGATCAGGTGTACCTGCTCGTTAGTAACCCCCACGGCAGACTTTGTAACCAGTATTTAAAGAGAAAAATCCTTTAAGGTCATGTCCATGTTCAAGCTGTGCAAGACAGAGGGACTTGAAACGACTCAGGCTCACCTATGTGCTGCCCACCCCTCCTTCTCTAGCCTGCATACCAAAAAGCTTGATCTCTGTCTTTCCCTGGCCCTTCCCAACCACTGCTATCTAGAAATCCGGCCATTCCCGTTACTGCAGGAACACAAAGCTACTCTGACTGCAGAGAAAAGGCTCCTTTTCTGGGAGCACAGGGCCTGGGTTTGGACACCGTGCTCTGGCAGCAGCCTCGTAGGGCTTTAGCCTAGCTTTGAAGCTCCTGGAGCAGTTCCTCGCATGCCCTCCACTGCACAGGGAACTGAACTCGCACGCTGAAGAACTGGGGAAAAGAGCGAAGGATGGCGGTGGTGGATCTAAGTCACTCCTCGCGCTGTTTTACTGACTGCTCATCTGCTGGGTTCCATCTTCCAGCACACCTGCCTGCCCGGGCCAGGTTCAGAAGTGATGTGCAGAGCAGGAAACGTGAGAGAATTTCAGTCTGAAGATACCTGAGACTGTAATTTCCCAAACTGAGGCGGCCCCATTCCCTCCACCACCACCTACCAGCCGCACAAAGGCCAGAAGTTAGCACAGCCGTACAGCGAGCCAGATCGGAGAATGGAGCCAGCTTAAACACGTATTTAGGGATCACTACTTAAAAAAGAACATTGAAAAAAACATTGTGTGTACTTTATACAGGACACAAACACATTATACGCTTAAAAAAGCATTTAGCTTAGTACTGAGCGGCTCCCTGGCTCAGCTAATGACGGAGCTGTGGTGCAGAACCGGGGAGCAGACTACAGGCAGCTGAGCCTTCCCTGCCTCGGGGAGATGTGCTGGGAGCCCCACAGCCACATCAGAGCTTGGAGGCGGCTCGCTGGACAGCCTGGATATTTTATTAAGTCTTTTCTTAGATTTTGGCCAGTTCTGCCTGCTGAAGTACTAGCTGCTCAGTTCCACAGACCTCAAGTAAGCGCCTGCTGTCAGGGAAGAGGAAAGCTTTCCCTTGTGCCGCTTCAGAGCTGCCCGAGCGCCAGCCTACCTGCCCGTCGGAGTCATAGCCCCAGCCACGCGCGCCAGTGGCCAAGGCGACCGCCCGAGTGTCCACCTCGCGCCGCACCCCACTCAGGACGAAGTGCCAGGCCCTGCTGCTCCGCGTGCGCCGCGCCATGCTGTTCCGCGAGAGGTAAGCTGCGGGGGCAAGGGAGAGGGTGTTACACACAGCAGCCGCGTCCTGCTTCCACCCACCGGGTTCTGCCCCCTGAAACAACCTCCCCCAGGTCGCCATAGGCCCTCCAGGGAACAGATCAGCACGAACCACGGCTGCACAAGACAAACTGATGCAAATTAAGTTCCTCCTGCATCACAAGCCTCTGCGACTTCAACCTTTCTCCCCATGGGGTCAACTTCTCCCCGATCCCAAGTGTTGAAATAGCCCCCAGAAACGCTCCCAGGACCCGGCGGCAGCAGCGCCGCGTGGATCCA